TAGTGGACTGTGAAAGAAAAACAAATCATACCTTCAAATAATTAAAATAAGTGCATATAGTGTGATATCGGACAGGAAGCAAGCCGGGTCTTCCTCGATAGTCACTTACCGGCAAAAGTACGGTAGTTGGTTTGCCCGTGCCGGACGTATCTGTCGTGTAATATGCGATTGGAGACAAACAGATTTTAGGGTATTATCATTGGACCTACAAATCTTTTGAACAAAAGACCGTTCCGTTCCAAAAATGTTGACTTCTCCATTACAAGTGAATATTTTGTGCTCAAATCATGAGATATTTAAATCCGCTGTTGTTTGTCTTCACCAGGTTCAAAAGTTAATACACAGTTGACTGAACATAGACGTATAGGAAACCGGTTGAAATTGATCGTCGTAAACTTGTTTTTGTTCACTTGTATAAAAGGCTTAATCTATATTTGAAAGAAAAACCTTTTATTGTAGATATTAACACCATAGAATATGTATAGAGAATATAAATGGTAAGACATAAGTAAGTTTAAACAAAGGACATACTGAAACCAGCGTCAAGATTCAAGATTTAAGATTTATTTTCGTCATACATTATAGGCCTATATACGAGATTTGTTTCTTTGAGTTGATAACAAACAGTAGAAATCGAAAACATCACTATAATATACAAGACAACAGTTAACAGGTATAATATTAAATATGAATATAACAATATATACACATGGAAACTAAACAAGGTTGAGCTATATTGTGAGGTCCAGAAGAGGAATAAGGCATGGAGTGTAGTATAGTGAAATACAGTAGATAAGCTTGATGATGAAAATATCTACTGAAGTGTTCGTTAAAGGCTCTTATGTCATTCTATCTATTAGTAAATCATCGTCAAACAAAAATAAAGTGTATTTATAAAATGGACAATATTAAGACAGTTTAAGAATCAACAATTTGCATTAGACCACTAAACGACCAACAACATCAACACGCTGCTTGGTCAATAAACTAAACGAAGCCTAGATAACACCTCCAGTCAGCCGTATTATCATATTATATCAGAATAACTATATTTCATCCTCTACGGGAAATCGTTGCTCGAAAATAATACATATTGAAACAGTAAACATTTAGAATATAAAAGCCTATTATGCCATCTCAGCATTATTATTATTTTTTTTTATTTCCTCACATCCAACAGCAAGTACACTCGCCTCTTACACGATGTTTCATAAACTAAGCTGCTTTTATGAGGCTTGGGAGTGGAGTTGGCTTTGGTCGTAGGAAAAAATCCTGCTGTGACAGAAATTGAACACAGGACCCTGGGATCAGAAGGCAAGCATCTTAACCACAGAGCTATTCAACTCCACTCCTTATTATGGCAGACTCCCACTCTCTTACCTCGATAAACATTTAAAACGTTATCATAATTTCCGGCCTGTTATAGTTAACTAATAACAAAATTCATATTGTATATTAACGCCTATATTGTTGAGAAAAACATTGTTTCTGCATTTAAATATAGGATAGTAAATAACATGCTGAACGTACATTTTCTTACAACAAACTGAAACTCTAATATGTAGAGTATAATAGGCCTATAATAATTAAGATGAAAAATATTAATGTACATGAAGACTTTATGTCAAAGGTTGATAAACACCAACAGGAGTTTTATTAATCATGTGTTCTAGGCGTACACCAAGTAGGCCTATTGTATTTTACTAAACAAGATAGAATTTACGCCTACTTGCACGATTAAAATAATAATTAGAATATTCTAAATATAACTTGCACTGCACATAATATGTACAAACTAGCGCACATTATACAAGTATGCCTAGTCTGAATGTGTGACGACCTGCTATATAATAGCGCACCGACACCTTTGTATTATGCGCAATAAAAATCCAACTTATTATCACCATCACCATCATCATCATTATCGTTATCTTCATCATCATCATCATCATCATCATCATCATCATCATCATCATCATCATCATCATCATTATCATGAAAAGTTCGGAATAATGACGTAGGTACAATTGTTTTGGTAAGCCCTCACGTTTTTCATCAACGCATCTTAAAACCCATCTTTTAACAGCAATTAGATTCATCCAAACGTATAAGCACCAAATATTTTGCTGTTTTAAGATCATGATCAATAATATAACATAACAGTCAATAAGTATTATCAATATTAGGTTCAATATTAGGTTTATTAAAGAGGTCCATTGAATATTGACTTTTTGAGACCCTTTTAAAAGCCATGCATATCCGTTCATATTTTTTTTTTCCAAATTATTGATTGATATCTGTGTGGTACATTCTTGCATTCAGAGTATCCCTCTTTATGTTTCAACCGTAAGGTAAATCATTATCAAGTATTCATCATTAGATATTAAATATTTATTGCGTAAGTTATAGCACAATCATGTCAATACCTCGCCGACATAACAAGTGAAGTGTATAATAAGTTTATAAGAAATCAATCAATGACAATCTTCATTGTTAACGCTAAATCGATGGAGTAAACTAGATTAAGACAGGGGAGTGCAATGTATTTTAATATTTGAAGGACAATTGACTAAATTACTATAGGCTATGTAAAATATATGATTATAGTCAGCAAAAATGGAATAATTTTACTATTGTCAGAAATATATATATATATATATATATTATATATAGGAAAATTTATACTTTGTTCTTGAGTTTTATTTGATATTAGTGTGTTTGTATATGTGTGAATGTTTTATTTATTTATATTTATCCTACCTATGTGCACAGTTGTAGCACCGTTTTTGTGTTTGTTAAGCTTGTTCTATAATTATATATATATATATAGCTGTCTCTTATACACATCTAGATGTGTATAAGAGACAGGTGTTGGTGTGGATGTGTGTGTACTACCATTAGTATTACAAGCATTATTATTATCATTATCACAATTGTATTGTATAATGCCTAAACACATAATTGCCTTAACTTAGTTGGAGGGACGCTCATAATAATCTGTTCCATGGACTTCTGTCTTGAGGGCGGCAACCTCTGCTGTTCTGGAGCTTGAATTTAACTCACAGATGTTTTCCGAATTATTATAATTTATAGACAAACAATGCCCTGACAAGATGCACTCTGCCAAGCACTCTATTTTGCTACGCACAAAAAGTGTTCTGTAAACGTAACCTTGTAGAGCGGCATTCTCTTCCAGGTCAGAAAATGCGGTTGTGCTATATGATGTATCTTAAATGATAAAACAGAAACATAAAGATTCATACTTGAAAAATCCATTCAATTCATAAAATCGCTGCACTCGCCACAGCGTTTTTACTTCAAACGGTACACTGCGTACTTTAGCTGTCCACGATGCAACCTATTGTTGAGCCGAATTGTCGCCTAATCGCAGATAAAGAAATGTTAGTTATAAATAGAGGAATCTTAAATTTAAGTAAGCTATCTCTATATTAATAGAGAAATCGCTATCTAAAACTAAGATATCTCTATCTAAAACTAAGATTTCTTTACTAAAAATATAGATATCTCCATTTAAAATAGAGATGTCTCTATTTTGAAATAAATATATCTAAGTTTAAAATACAGATATCCATTTTTAAATAAAGATATGTCTATTTAAAATTAAAATAGAGATATCTGGATTTCAAATTAGGATATCTCTATTTTGAGATTAAATGACAATTCATCTTGCCATACTTGAAGGTTCTTGGGTTTGACCGACAACTCAGTGTCATCGAAAGCTGTCGGCAAGCAAAAGCGTGTAGTGATTTTAGGGGGAATCTTAGTTTGTTTTTTTTTTTTATACAGTGCAAGCTGGTATTACTCTATCTGACAGTATGTCGTGGAAGGGCTATTTAGATCACATGTATTATTATTTTTCAATAGTAATGTGTTTATATCAAATAGATAATATTAATTGTTATTGTCGTGATGGAATAGACAATAACTGGATTTGCGTCAGGAAAAACACGTATAGGTGTAATTTTGCCCTACCTGACGTAAGCAGTACTCGCTGCTTACTTGGACTCGAATTCAACCCTGGCCATCAGGTGCGAGCTCGTTGGTCTAGAGGTATGATGCCAGGATAATGATCTGGGGATCGTGGGTTCGAGTCCCACCCGAGAACAACTTGCGATTTTTTTCGCAATTGTCTTTAAACGTACTGAGTATTCAGTACATTTCCACGTCAGGTAGGGCAAAATTACACCTATGCATAATTCTCCTGACGCAAATCAAGTTATTGTCTATTCCCACGACAATAACAATTACTATCAACACTGTAGTGTACCCGCTGCTTACTTGGACTCGACCCTGGTCATCAGGCGCAAGCTCGGTGGTCTAGAGGTATGATGCCAGGCTAGTGATCTGGAGATCGTGGGTTGGAGTCCCACCCGAAAGAAAATTGTTTTTTTAGCGTACTGAATATTCAGTACGGTACATTTCCACGTCAGGTAGGGCAAAATTACACCTATACAAATAGATAATAATTGATATACATCATTTTACGGAGCTAAGCAGCATACCTAATTTGAATATATACTGTATAGACTATAGGCCAATTATGTAAGTATTCAGTACGGTACATTTCCACGTCAGGTAGGGCAAAATTACACCTATACAAATGGATAATAATTGATTTATACATCATTTTACGGAGCTAAGCAGCATACCTAATTTGAATATATATAGAGGTCTTAAAACACTCTCACCTAGTTCAGAACAATCGTCTTGAAAGTACCAGGCCAGGCAGGTACACTCGAATTTGTTCACAAAATCGTAACATTCTCCACCATTCTGACAGGGAGAGGAGTCGCATTCATTTATCTCTAAAAATAGATATCACATCAATTATTATTGTCGTTATCGTTACCATAATAATGATCATTACCATCACAACTGTTATTATATAATAATGTTATGTTATTATTATTATCATTATTATTATTATTATTATTATTATTATTATTATTATTATTATTGTTAATATTATTATTTATTGTTATTATTATTATTATTAGTAGACCTATTAGTATTATTATTATTATTAATATTATTATTATTATTATTATTATTGCTATTATTATTATTATTATGTATATTGTTATTATTATTATTATTATTACTATAATTATTATTATTATTATTATTATTATTATTATTATGAGAAGATGGTGTTAAATGATAGTTGTTGTTAGTGCACATTTTTTACTTTACTCAAGTTAGTTATGATTATTACTATACTATTTGAGCTGCCGAACGGTAGATGTATGGGTAGATGGATTAATGTATCGATCAATAATGTATGATGACTTACCCGTATCGCAGTATTCTCCAGAATATCCAGAGTCACAGGTACAAGTGTACGAATTTACGGCGTCATTGCAGACGCCAAAATTACATGGGGATGAAGAACATTCATCTACGTCTGAAATATCAAGTAAAAAATCATTATTATAATCATACATTCAAATAATTCTACTAATAATAATAATAAATATGAAAGTAAAGTTAGTCGTTTGTATAAAACGTATATTTCAATATACATAATGATAATCAATTAGGATTAACATTTTGTTTTTGATTATCGTTGAATTTTTTAAAAGTATATTATACTATAAGTTATCTTATTAAAAACATCTATTGTCATACACTCAAAACAATTCAAACAAAATATTTGAAAATTTGGTTAAAACATTTCATTTGCATGAAACCTTTACCTGTGTCACAGTATGTTCCAGAATAACCTGGGTTACAAGTACAGGTGTACGAATTCACCTGGTCATTGCATTGACCAAAGTTACAAGGGGATGACGAGCATTCATCTATGTCTGAAATATTAAATTGAAAAACATTGTTGTTAGTGTAATAATTCATATATATATATACATATATATATATACACATATATATACATATATATACATATGTGTGTGTGTATGCATGTATGTATATATGTACCATTTAGTGGTAATGCTAAAATTATATCAAAATTAATTTTAAACATTAAATAAGAGGAATATGCACGGGTAAAAAAATAGATGCCCCAACCAGGATTCGAACCCCTGGATCTTCTGTCTATGCAGACTCCTTAGCCAACTGAGTCATTGAGCCATATTTGATTCAAGCATCTAATTCTTCACACTCATGCACAACAACACTAGTCCTCATCTTATCAGCATTTGATGACAAGATGAAGGAACATTTGTTGATGAACTATGTTTGATCCAATGTATAACATCATGATCT